CGGAAAGTTAATTAACAAACGGAGACGTAACAATATATTGGTCCAAGTATGGCTCGGGATTAGCCTGTGAAAGTACGTGGATGTGAGGAAGAATTCTTAGTTAATACTGGAGCAGTAAGTCAAAGGTTTTGCCAGTCATTGTCATGTAATTAAACCAGAAATATTCCTCCCTAGTAGAGAATGGAGAAGCTTGACTCTGCATCCATAATGGGGCCATTACCAAGCAAGCAAGTTATCATCTCTGCCACCAAAGATGACAGAGGTTATGTTTTCACATCAGTTCGTGTTTGTCAGCAAGATTCCTTAAAAACAGATGAATGTATTTGGACGAAAATTGGTATAAATTGAACTATGATTCAGCTTTGAAGTGAATGGTTTTTTGGAGGGTCAAGATAAAAGGTCAAAGTCACGAAAATCCAAAAAAATCACTATCTGTTAACATCGGGACCAATTTTTCACACTATTTTTGCTCTCTAATTCAATCAAAAATGAACGGATTTTGGATGAAACTTCGTGGAAATAGGTAGAATGTTATTTCTCATTATTCTGCCAAAAATGGTCTGTGTCCATTGCCAACGACAGACACAGTTTCGTATTTTTTGAGTGCCAAATATGATCAATGCTGCATGGCAGGAGGTATGTGCTCTACTCACAGAATTTTGTTACAGTAATGGCATTTGAGATTGCCCAAGATACACTGTTTTTATCTGAAGAAATCAAGCCATGCTTGCCCAGACAGTTCTCTCTCTAAGAGCAAAAAAACATTCAGGTTACAGTTCATAATTACAGTAAAGTTATTGGATGAAAAGTTTGGCATTATGTTGCAAAATGGAGAAGTGGCCAAAACATGCTACTGAGTTACTACTTGTTACTCCACCTACACTACATCACCATTTACATACAGAGGTTGTTGGCTGGAGATAACGAAAAAATATGGGAAGTTGTTGATGAAATTTATTAATGTATTTGTTAGCTCAGATGGCTGGCTGAGAAGAACAAACATCACAGATTCTGGAAATGTCTTATAGAGACCATCAGGGATATGGGCCAGTGTTTAGATGGGTCAGACAGAAAGCTGAAATCATTCACAACTAGCATGTTTTATGATGCAATCCACAGTCTTCATGAAACTTTGCAGGATTTTTGGAATTATTTTACATAGCTCATAAAGTTAAAAATCGATTTGTTAACTTAGTTAGCCTGCTTTGTAGAGTCTCAGGTTGGTATCTTGCTTGGTCTCAGTTTCCACTCCATAAATATTTCAGCTTCACGGGATAAGTGCTGAGCAATGCACTAAAATCTTCTGTGGATAACCTACATAAAGTCAGTGCTCCCAACAAAAAAAGGCAATTATTAAATTCCAAGCTTTTCATGCAGATTGACATAACTCAAGAATCGTGCCTAATTCTGTCTTTAAGGAACTGAAAATGTTTGCAGCACCCAAGATGCAGTATCTCAATTGGCCAAAGAACTTGCCACATTAGGAGAATCATGAATTGAAGTTTCTCTTCACATGATGGAGTGCCACACTCAGAATATTTGTTGTTCAATCACTTGAGTTACATTAAACTCATATATTTTTATTACCCATTTGTTTGTTATTAGCTCTGGCCATCTCTACTTTTGAGCTGATAAGATCAAAGGGAAGGCAGTTAGTTAGTCAACTGCACTCACCACCAACTCTTGTGGGATTTGACCACCATCCACACTCATGACCTCAAAGGGCATAACCAAATATATATTTTGAAGTATTAGGACATGAATGATGGACAAAAATTAACATTATTAAGATGAGATAACAGAAGAATGAATTATAAATGGTTCATCATGTAGCAGTTGGGAAGGGCTATTGCATTGTAACTGGTTGAATACAGCAAATGAAGAAACTGTACTTAAATGGAAAGTAAGTAAAAGAAACTATTAAAATAGAATAACAAATTGGAAATTAGATTAAAAAGATGGTCAAAGCATTTGCCCAGTCAACAACTTGGTTTCAACTGTCACTTCTTCAAAATAAATAACCCAAGTGATATCTAGTAACGACTATGTGTTGACTGTGAAATTATGCTTGTGTAACTGAAGTAACATATTACCAAAGTTTTTTCTAGTAATTGAACCATTATAATGTTTAATATTTGTTTTGTAAAAAAAGTATTGAAAAGAACTATATGAAACAGAATAAAAACAGTACTTATAAATAAATTAATTTATAAAAATGGCTGATAGTCCCAAGTTTAGTCTTAGATAGGAAATGTAAGCATTCTAAGATCACATTCAGATAAAAAAATAACAAGAAATATGATAAAAAAACACCTTACTTCCATTAATGATTGACTTGATCATTTAAAACAAACAAGACTACCATTAAATAAATAATATTTGTTTAAAATAATTCATCAGTGTTCCAGGCTTAATTCAATTATTCTGACTCATAAGTGATGCATGAGGTGAATTAATTTTGTTCCTCCAGAAATATATCTATTTTGTAACTTGTTTTATTGACAATTCTTCAAACACTCTTTGAATAGCCTAATTTATTATTCCAAACTGTTACAAGAAATACTGAACATAGGAAAACAGTTTTAAAACTTTAAACAGGACTCTTTGTTAGTTGTTATTGGTCCCAGTACTCAATTTTACCCCTTCATCAAGTCAAGTGTAACTATACTGAAATATATTTGTTAAGTTTTAATAATGAAACAGCTGTTACAACATGTGAAATGTACTTCTGACCAATTTAGAAACATTTAAATATATATTACTTAACATGTAAATATAAAACAGGTAAGTAGTTTTCAAAGTAGTGTATATTAAAGTATAATTACAGAAATTATTAATACAGATCATCACAATTATTGTTACATCTGAAGGGTATGTTATGGTATTCACAGAGGTCAAACATTCCCTCCAAAAACTGTTAAGTGAAATGAATAAAACTAAGATATTTTCAATCACATCACAAACAAGACATAAGCATTGTTTCAGAAGTTCACAAACAGAATACTGGAATTTTATTTCTTCATGAGGCTGTACCTAGTGAATACATGCTTTAATCACAATTGGTTGTTTACTAAGCTAAATGATAAACAGTAACATATCACTGTCAGATGATAAACTTATAAAAATATAGTAAGCCCACAGTTTTTTTTTTTGCAAGGTTTTGTTCATGATTTCTGGCCAATACAGTATTAGTATTTTGATATTTACATAGCATGACATAGTCTTCAAGAATACCACAACAGCACATATTTCTAGAAGCCACTACAGTAAAAAGTAAAATCACTATTCACCATTCTTACAGGCAACAAAACAAAGCACAAGTGAAATATTATGTATTCTGTAACTGTAGAATCAACAGTCAGTAAAGAAGATATAAGGAATAATTATGTATCTTGTATCTGTGGCAAAGCTACTAAGGCTATTTGCCACCACCCATAATTTTGTACTATTGACCAGAGGAAAGTCAGCAACACCATTCACGCTGTGGGATTAACTGTGACTCTTATAATGTATATGCAGCTTAAAGTGCAGAGAATATTTTGTAGAACTGCACAGAATTGAAATGGCTTGCCAGCTTAAAATTCCAAAGATCTACCATAGGCCTAACATGCAACCTGGAATTAGATCTTAATTAAGCAAATTACACATTTTTTAAATTTTGTTTTATTTTGCATTGTGAAGGCATAAATTCTTCTTCAATAAATCTTTTACTTTGTCATGAAAAAAAAAGTTGTTTTTACAAGTTTCAAGGCCCATTCAATAAATATTTGTGAATCTTGTGACAAAACATGTTACATTACTTTTAATTTAAAAAAATGTATTTTAACCCATAAATATCTGTGATCAGTTTGTTCCTTGTGATGCTATTTTAATAACAGATTCAACACATTCATTTTCTGAGTTTATGAAGGCTGAAAAAAAAGAGGTTATGTATAGTAATGTATATACTTGCAGTTAAAAACAGAACTCTTTAGAAATCATTTGAAAACAATTTGTAACTTGAATCATTGATATGAAAGCTAGCATATTTTAGACTGGAAAATCTTTTATTTTATTTTATACAAGCAGTTTTAAATTGTTCTTGAAACTATAATAATTAGAATGTTACACATAACACTAAATCAAGAAATCCTAAAAAAACAACAACAACCATAAATGAAATCGCGTTTCCTTTTGTTCTCGAACTCTAAAACTATAATGATATTAAAAATATTTTTAACACTATCTATAAACATTCTTGTTGATTTATTTTAAAATAGACTTTTATTCCAGCTCAAGTTGTAACTACTGTGGTTTTCACAGTACACAGAATTTATTTTTTTTATTTAGTGGTCAAAATTTTAAACAAAAAACAGACACACACACATTTCACATTAAAAAAATTACTAAATCAAAATATACAAGTTTAGGTAAAATTTCAATTAACACTTAGTGCATTACAGGTAATTAATTTGTGTACATTATCACGTTGTTTTGTGTAAAAATTTTTATTTATATTTTCAAATTGATAATAAATTAAGAAATTACGTTTGAATTTGTATTACTTTTGAATGTGTAAGGAATAACCCAGCACTCTGACGAGTAAATGTATTATATCAATCAACATGTATGCAATGAATTTTAGTATTTTTTTGGAAGAAGTTTAAGATTCAACATGCTTATGAAAATGGTGTCAGAATTGCTCATATGATTTTCGATACATTTTTATTTTTTCACACAAATTTAAACTGTCCTTCAGTTGTTTCCCACAAAATATCTGAGTTCACTCCAAAATTCTCAAAAATCTTCAGCTGCTCCAGATGATGGAAGAGGTTTAGTTAGAAGAGATATTATCATGCTGCAAGAAAATTAAACACATTGTCATTTTCTCAAGAATTAACTGTTATATACTGTAATGCACAACATGGAAAAAAGTTTTTCTAAAGAAATCAAACAAGTCTTCAAAATATGTTCTTATTCAATCCAAGCATTTACATAAATAGAATTTAAAATTAATGTTCTCATAACCTATCTGGATAATTATATTAAACAATAAGGGAAAAATAGTAACTAACAAAATTAAGTTTGAGAAACATATCTTTGAGTCAGCTTCAAAGATTATCCTTGTTTCTGGTTCAGAAACTGTCAAAATATTGCTCAGCAGTAACAAATACCATTTAAAAAGTGTACAATTCCATTCCTGCACTAAAATATAGATGGAGAGATCACTTAATATACAGTAAAAATGCAAATAATATGAACACTCATGTGTGTGCAGTGAAACCTCATTGGTAGAAGACATTGACCATCCAGAAACTTTTTTGATGTAGACAAATCTTTGCAATAAGAAATCTAATTAATACTCCATATACTTCTATTCCATATCAGAACACTATTTCTTATAGAAAACATGCATTTCCTATGGACACAAGAGTGAAGTAACAGTAGATCAAAACAGAAAATGATGTGATAATTACTGTCCACAAAACACCTACACTCACAGTGGGTACCAATTTATTATCATATTTCTAAAAAGACCTTCACTAATAGAAGACACTGGTTTATGAATGACCTTCACAGTAGGAATGCACGTACAAACTATAATGGATATCAAGAGATCATCAGTGATTTATGCTATATTCATGCCAAGTTAAATGTTCCAAAATGAAGAAACACAGAAATATAAACATCATTAAAACATGATGTTTGTTTATACAAGAAAGTAACACATGTATTTTGTATTTTATAAGCAAGTCATTGGCTTGATCAAAATTATGATTTATGTGAAGATAATGACATAATGTTACTTTGTTTATTCAACTTGTATAATTATTTATGAGAAACATAAAGTTTATTTTACACACAGCTGATTTTTGTTCACCCATTTCATCTCTTCCCTTACTACTTTGCACTCCTACCTTTAGCAATTAATAATGTATGCTATTAATAATGTCCACTGTATTCAAAGTGACTGCTTCGACTATCCAAATATCTCAATGATTTGGAAGAATTATTTCATTACCAGGTTTCACTGTACTACTCTCGATAAAAAAACAACAACAACAAAAAAAAAACGTAAATAATTCAATAATGCAGTGATTTTTTTACAAACTGTAGGTATTAATACTTCAGTATATAAAAAAAAATCACTTACCAATACAAATATATGAAAAAAAAATCAAATAGAAAGCAAGGCGGATCAGTGAATCTCTTGTATGCTTCTTTAGGTTTCCACGATTGTGTATTTCTGTTGGATCATAAATCCCAAAGTTACCAGATGGTACCTGGACAACCCTGAAAAAAAGAATAAATAGAAAGAGATCATGTATCATATCTTTTATTCTTTATGAAGAACTCAACCATATTCCAATATTCTCTATATGTCTACATTCAATATAACATGTAAACAAGAGATAATAAAAACAGTTTTAATTTTCAACTACAAAAAATATATGACACTTTTATTTTTGATTATTAAACCAACAGCTTCACTAGTTCTGGAAATTACCTACGCACCTTCCAAGATTAGTGAAATAGAACGAAGAAACTGGCTGTATATAATGCAGGTATCCATATTCAGATCACTAACAAACTGTGCTAACTAAAAAAATAGATACTTCACACTTTCAATTCCTCTCAGTGGTAAATCTGGGGATTATAATAATAAAAATTGGGTTTCAATACCCCAGTGGGTACAGCACAGACAGCTCATTGTGTAGCTTTGTGGTAAAAAAACAAACAAACACTCGTATACACTTACAATGTCTATAAACATCATTCTAAGTTTAAGAAAATAGAAGGTAAGGTAAAAATGCTCTCATATGTACTTTTCAAATACATTTTAATGTACTGTGTGCATGTGTGTTTACTTTCTTTAATTAAAAAAAAAGGTTAATTATCCTTCTATAAGAACAATGTTCCATTCCCTCATTGGTCATTCAGATACACACGATAGTAGATTATTGCCTAACTGTACAGTTTTTGCAAAGGATTGCAAGGTCAATTTTATACCCATCTTAGCAAATTTTTGCAGACCCTCTACTGTACACGCATGGGCAACTCTAAGGCCACTTTTACACAGACCAAAGACACAAAAGTTCATTGAAGCCTCACAGAAGGACCTGATAGGTATGGAGTAGTTAAATGTGTTATGATTTCAGTTTCTTCAGACATCATGAAAACAGCCATTGATTTCAAGGAGTAGCTTAAAGTTTGAAAACTTGTGAGCCTTCATTAACCTTGGTTTATTATCTTGCTAAACCTGCTAGGAAATAAGCCAAGCTTCATTGTAATGGTTTTTTGGGTCAGAGGATTCTCTTACTTGGTTTTGGAACCTATTGGTGTCAAAAATGATCAGCTGTGCAAGTCTACATCCATGGTGCTTTTTGGCTCTTTGTAGATTAATCCTCCAAGATTTTCTTTACAATTGTTACACTGTACTTGTAGGTTCTTGATTGTTGGTTGCAAGGTACTTAAAATATACAAATATATGTTTGTAGACTAGTCATCCAAGACTTTCTTCACAATTGTCACACTGTACTTGTAGGTTCTTGATTGTTGGTTGCAAGGTACTTAAAACATACAAACATATGTTTGTAGACTAGTCATCCAAGACTTTCTTCACAATTGTCACACTGTACCAGGCTGTTGCTACCCATTTCGCCTTTGTTCAAACCCCACTGATAGTGAATGGTGTACAAACAAGCCAGTGATTAGGCAGTATTAAATTATCTATTTGTATGTTTTAAGTACCTTGTATACTAAAAAGAACCCACAAGCAACTGGTGCACAAATAATTTAGAAAAGTCTGAAGACTGATTGGATTTGACATTATTATCTTGTGCAACTGGCAGATGTATTCAAACATGAAAAAGACTGTTATGTGAAAGACTTAACTGTATTATTTTGGCATTGATGGGCCGATTTACAACTTTATTGAAAAATACTGTAAATTACTTATTACTTGCGTGGAATTAACTTTCACAATTTTTGTGGTATGTATGTTTCCACGAACAATAGTTCCAGCAAAATAAAAAGCCCTTATGAGTGATAAATAAATGTTGTTTCGGCATAAATTGGCTTGCATATCTTCGCTGTGATGAGTTTTAAAAACATCAAAAATGGCTAGGCACTTCCGTGCTGGATGTAACTTCAGGGTTTTATGGGTTCTCTTGAAGTAGGAGATGACATAAGTTAAGTACCTGCAGCAGCTTCCTAATACACACACAGACAAGTTCATTGCTTTGAATAGGTGGATTACCAACACATCGGTTCAGTTGCACAGCATGATTACAAAGGCTTATAATATGAAAAATGTTGATTAGAAAAACAGAATGATGTCTAAAAAGTTTTTCTACGCTTATGTAATGGAAAATTAATGCATTTTCAATTTCATTTTTCTGTGAAAGTTAAAACATGCGAACCAAGTGTAAAACCATGAAAGATAATTTCTGGGAACATTAAGTAAACTACAATAAATCCTGACAACTAATTGCATGAATAAAAGTTCCACTTCCTAGCAAAGAATTCACCAAGTCTAACGTAACGAATGTCTAACCCAATTGTTAAATAATTGTAATTTAGATCAACTCAAGTAATAATAAGTAAACAATGTTGTAGCTAAGTATCTTGCATGTAATTGAATACATAAGAAATTATTTCATTTTCTGAACTGGCCATTAATCTCATTATCCAGTAATTATCTCTATTGTTGATAAGTTAATTACATAGCACTCCTATAAACAACTGCTCGAAAATTGTAGACCAAATGTCACATGTTGCTACCAAGTGTACTTTATGACCTAATGTCTGATCAATCACAACAACTGCTCGAAAAAATGTGTGCACCTCCAGTATCCAGAATGCACTGCATCCATATGACAACAGACATTACAGCAATAACATATATATCTCATCTGGCATGCAGGCTATTTCTTGAACAATTGTATCTTTCAAGTTCAGAATTATGCAAGGCTTCATACAGTATACACAACTTAAAGAACCCTCACAATCAGTAATTTTCATGTCTAAATAATACATGTATACACAGACACAAATACTCTCTTGAAAATTTTAAATGAACAATAAATATAACATAATGTATTATCTTCATCATGTATTATCAGTTGATGCTGAGAAATTTACATAATAAATATTAGTAACTTAAGAAAAGTGCCTAGAACATACTTTTAAGTGATAGTTGTTAGCTGACAATATATTTCAACATAGCTTCCAAGAGTAGTAAAAAATTAAAAGTGGTTATAAGGCTTTCTGAAGATATGGGCCTATTGCACAATCAAGGAACCATTCTTCAACTGAAAGATGCCATTGTAACAGAGATTCAGTTGGTTATTTAGATGTCTTATGCTGTAATATTCAATGCCAGCAAAGTTGAATGTACAGAAAATGATGGTGGCAACGTGGATAAAAGCTGCAGAGGAATCACTATTACTATTTTTCAGAAACTCATCCAATACACTTCCTATTGTGTTCTAGGCACAAACATAAAATATTTCATGTATATATTACATAGTTCACCGTACACACTGTTCCAAGTCCTCACTGACTTCATAGCCACATTAAAATGCAATATCAGAAGTGTAAGAAACACATTAGCAGATTAACAAATAATGATTCGTAAACACAGTAATCTTTATTGTAGAAAAAATGACTACATTTCTACAGTATATTGGTCCATCTTTTTTAGGTATGTTGCAAAAATAAGTGTACAAAGCTTATATACGAATGAGATGTGGGGACAGACGGTTTACAGATAAAAAGAATGTTGCCATCCGAGATCATTGAAATTTTACAAGTGAGGTTTACAACTTAAAGATATTGCAATGTACTGTTGAAACATATTTTTTTTTCTACAAAATATTTTTTTTGTTTGTTATTTTACTACTGTTATAAATATGTTAAATAAACGACAAATTCTGAATCAATTAATTAGTCAATAATTAATGATTCTAATTTTTTTTAGAAATATTTCCAATGATATTTTTTAATTCATTCACAATTATCAACTATATCAAACAATTGAAGATTACATACTTGTAGCCTTGCCAAAAGGTCATTGGTACATTTAGTAGGAAGAGAAACCAATGAAATGTTACTAGAAGGAGGAAGGTTAGAACACCATTCCCAACCAATTCTGGAATAACCCACTATAATAAAAAGAAAAAAGGCAATTAGAACTGTAGCAATGACAGACTCAAAACTTTCCCATATACAACTGCATGTACAACATAATTATTAATATTATTTAATGAAATCATGGAGATAAGCTGTATAATTAAAAAACTATAATGAAAAAAATAAACAAAAGTCAATGCTACCAGTCTCCATTTAAAATACAAAAAAAACAACTATTTTTGCAAATAAAATTTTCCTCTTTCATTACAGAAATGTTTCTTTTGTCCATTTTCTCCTAAAATTTCAATATTATTCTTAAACTTTTTTTACTGTTCACATAACCATACAAATTCATCAAGTAATATTTGGTGTTTCAACTTAACAGATCTTGACTGATAGTTTTTTATTTTTACAAACATCAATATTCTACATTTAGTGAACAAGTTTCTTCCATATTCCGAACTAATTAACCTGGATATGTTCTCTGATAAGGAAATTAGCAACTATTAACCAAGAACTATTTCTGTTTTATGACCCAACATAAGAGAACTGGGAACAATTAGTTTCTTGTAAACTAGACGTATAGGCACATATGGTTGAAATACTCACCTCATTCCTCCTGAACAAAAGGTATTTAATACAGTAATTTATACTTATGAGTAATCAATGTGTAATTATTAAGTTATACAAAAAATTAACATAATTGGATAATTAACTTAAAATTCAATTTACAAATATAGTATGCTGAATTGTACATTTTATTTCGTACCATGTCTTACAGCTAGATAATAAATAATGCTATAACAAAACACCCACTTAATGCTTGGTAAATGGCCAATTTGATCATTTTACCAAATATTAGTGTCTATTCAGCTGCTGAATAGTTGCAGATTTCATTAGTTACAAGTACTAGTATTTAATATTAACTTCTGATCAGTGAAAGTTATGTAATTAGAGTGAAACTAAAACCTAACCTGACAATTAGAATAGCTAATAAAATATACATTTCTTCTTGAATAGGCTAGAATGCATTGATTATCAGTTGCGTATAATTTCTGTTAACATTATATTCAGCCTAAAACTGACTATAGACACTAGGAAGTTATACCAACATAATACACAGACGGTCGACAAATTATTAAGTTTATTAATGTGAAATACATATATCAATAACCTTTTTTAGTAAAATTCATAGCAATTATTTAAACAAATTCAGTTATCAGTAAACTATCTTTTTTCATGTTTGTTTGTATAAATCTATTTAATTTTCATATCATTCAAATCATATGATCCTGCTTTAAAATGTCAAACAAAAATCTTATTTCACTTCAAATGAAATAATTTTGATACGTAAGTTAATATTCTGATTTTCTGAGCAATAACCTTTATCAGTCTAATTGAGTTTATATTAATCAGACTTTTACTAAATAATTAGCCATCAGCAACACAATTTTTTTTAAGAAACTTGATATTCAAATTTGTTAACATCATGAACTATTTTCTTATAAATACATTAATTCCTTGTAAGAAAAATATTTAGTAGGCCTAAGTGTTTTTGTTTAAGATTCTTGTAAAAACTACACTCATAACTATCTATCTCATCTGCAGTCATCCCTCGTTAGATGTAGCTCTCCATCAGACCAGTCAAGTACTTCCCTTTCCATGCTCAGACGGGATTTTGGTCCTTCATTAACACACTGGCCGGGATGTTATTAGTGGGTATATATTATAGTGACACCATCCCTCACACTATTTTGCTAACTGAAATAGTTACTGCCAGCCAGTATGCTAACTCTGACTGTCAATGATGTAACTTACCAAATGCTACAAGATAGCATCCATCAGCCTGCTGCTGCTGACGTCGTCGTTTCCCTGGTACAGGGCTCTAACTGGGTACCAATAGCTGGAGCCAGCTGAGCCCAGAACTCACGAGCTGGGCAGGGTCACTACTCCCTGAAGCAGCACTAAGTGCTACCTGGTACACTCATAACAGTATATCATATTAAGCTTATCACTTCTCATTCACTGAAGACACACTGCAATATACACTTGGTCATTAGGATTTCTCACTCAGATATCTTTGTTCAGTACTAAAGTTAAAAAGTCTGAAGTTTAATAAAGAATTGAACTTCTATACATATAAAACTAAATTGTTCATAAAATCCTTTCATTTCCAGAGCCATCTACACTAGGTATTCAACTGGAATTATTATACTATACTTGTTAAAGTACTGTTATTGCATCCTTCTCAGTCCGTTATTTACCTTTTTACAACATTTCATTGATACTTATATGTCCTGTAGTTTTCATTGCACTGCAAACTAACAAAACTGTTTAAAGAAATATACTACTAAAATGTTGTTAAGGATCAACCTTTCAGTTCAAATACAAATTACCGATTGAATTAAATACCCATTTGTGACAAGTACTGACACTCATTCTCTTTGACTATCAGCACTCACTTCATGGGGTATCACGATATGTGTGAAGATGCTCCCTCAGAAACTGCCTTAGTAGTAAGTGTAATGGCATAAACACAAATTACACATTAGTAAAGTGATGTACATATCAACAATGTGGTATGTACTGATTTTCCTAAGAGCAATTGGCTAGGCCTACAGCATATCAGGAGATTTGAGAAGATATCTATTACAAAATAGTTACATATTTACTCTAACTGACTTTGTTGGAATGAAAGGTAGAGAATGGACATAATATAACACAAAATAAACAATTTTCATTAAATCACTAAAACAAATGTGTTTGTGCTTGTTCAGGATGCTGGATAGTCATTTTTACATGATAGTGAACTGTTTCTTCTTCAAACAGTATTAGTCAAGATCATACATCAGACTAACTAAAGCAAACATTATTTACGTGACTGTTCATTCACACTTAAAATTAAGGAAAGTCATAGCCTTGATGCATCACCTGACCTAACAATGGAGAACACTGCTTTCGACAAGAGCTGGATGATTAGTGGGCTTTGTCAGGCACATTGATGAATTACATGCAACTAATGAGACTTGGATAGTTGGAATAATAAGAAATAGTAGCAACTGGAAGCACTAATTTCAATTAATCAATTATTTACATGACAATAGAAAATGCTCACAGGTAATCAATTATATTAATTGCCCAGTCCTACTGTCAACATCCTTGGACAATGTGAAGCATTACAGCCATACCCCTCATGGACAGACCAAGTGTTACCACAGAAGAATGACAAGAAACATAGGCAGCTAGAACAAAACCAACTTAATGACTCCATAGGGTTGTGCAGAAACTGCAAATACCAGAACAACTGATAAATTTCAAATAATACTATATTAAAATAGAACAGGAATGCAGAAAATGCATTGTACATTTATATATCACAACAGGGGGCTTAAGATTATTCAATGTCATATCATCAATTACTGAATATGTCTGGTCTCCTATACGTGGAGTCACAATCCTAAGATAGATCACCATACTCAAGAATTAGTCACATCCATGACCTTCTTTAAGGGTAACCCAACTAATAAATGTCCTTCCACATATAACAGGGGTTATAGTTTCTACATGTTGCTTTGACAGCATCTTCATGGAGCTGACATGAGGTGTGGAAGAGCCTAAATCCCTACACTTCTGATACCTTGATACATTCAGAAACACTTAAAATTGGTACACTTCTGATACCCTGACATATTCATAAACAGTTAAAATTGGTACACTTCTGATACCCTGACATATTCATAAACAGTTAAAATTGGTACACTTCTGATACCCTGACACATTCAGAAACAGTTAAAATTGGTACACTTCTGATACCGACATATTCAGAAACAGTTAAAATTGGTACACTTCTGATACCCTGACACATTCAGAAACAGTTAAAATTGGTACACTTCTGATACCCTGACATATTCAGAAACAGTTAAAATTGGTTCAC